CTCGGATCCTGTCCCAGCTTCTTGTAGTATTCCGTGGCCTTCCTCATGAACCAGCTGCCTGTTACCTTTCCCATCTCTTCCTGCATCGTTGAGGTTTGGGGAAGCGCAAAGCAAAGATGGCGTTGCACATTCAGGTATTTCAATGGTATTCCGAACTTCACACACAGGTCATCAAGTGCCTGCCTTTTGGACGTCTTTATCAGGCACAACGCAACGCGTCAAGTGATCAGTCCTTGCACGGCAATCAATTCTGCACACAAGGACATCCTGCTACTTGTCATGGAATGTAGCCCAATTGGATGCCAGTGACAAGGACGGTGGCACTTCAATTCTGGCGTCTGACCACTGATGGTGCGACTCGTTGATCCGTGAGTAGCCAGTTCGAAATAAGTCTTAGTGAACATCAATGCTGATGGGCATCAAGCGGCCACCCAGCGAAGTGGGATGGCAGGAAGTTCACACTGCCGGGGAAGATTTGAGTACCAGCCACTTTATGCTGGAGCAAAGAGGCATACACAGAGGCTGCCTACACAGCCTTTCCAACTTCTCCATTCTGTGATGACATAGGGCCTATATTAACAGAGCAGCGAGCCTGCAACAAAACCTCAACAAAAAAAAAAGTGCACGGGGAATAGAATGCAAGTGGCAATCATTCTGCATGCATCAACGCTCACAAGTGCAGACAAGTGACTCTTCAGTTGAAAAGGCGGAGGGTCGGCGAGAGGCAGCCTCAGCAAACTTTAGGTCCGACTTAAGACATAATTCAGCTCAGCACGCCTCACCACAACAGATTGGGAACCTTGAAGCAAAAACATCACGCACTCTTGCTTTGAGGCCTTTTCATCCTGACTCTGGAGCATTCCTGCTTTGGACGCAGAGCGCGTCCATGCGTCCAGAACGAAAAAGAGGGATGTCCGCCCACTCGTAACTTTGCCATGCTGGTCACAGCTTTGGCATGCTTGCTCTTAAAGCCTGATGGTCACATTTTACACACAACTCTGCAATGCTAGAAGTCGCCAACACAGGCTTCCAGAACTGCACGTACTTCAAAAAGTTGCTGCAAGACTGTATTAGCAGACTGCACCTTATCTCTCCCAAGATTCCAGCATTTGCGCGATACCCGATGCCTAGACTGCCTAGAACCCTTCTCGCAGCAATCTTTTTCAGCACCATCCGCATCACTTGGCCACGTCCGCATCGTCCAAGACGGCCGTCTTGGCATACCTGACACTGGCAGCAATAGCTGAAGTGGAGCAAAGACTGCAGAGAGCTTAAAGCTAAAGCAGCAAAGGTGCTCTTGCAACTGCTTCTTG